ACAATGCATATCTGTCCGTACAGTAATTATCTATGGCGACTATTTCAACTTGAAGGAATATTTAGGCAACAATGAAATATACCAATGTCTTACCTTTTATTTTTCACTAGAATCCTTCAAATGACAGTTGAATTTAAATTGAGTTCAGTCGATGTTGTCCATCAACATTTCCATTTGCGTGTTACTTTGATAATTGGACGGCCGTCTTCACTAGTAATGCGGGTCACAACATATCTTGCATTCGTTTCTCTCATTCAGTCGTCATCCACCACTGATGACCGCTTCAAAAATGGTAACGTCCGCAAAGCTCATTTCGTGCTCCTAAATTCAGTTTCACCGCAAATGCAGAGAGTTGACATCAGCCACGAATATGTCGGTTCATCGTTTAGGTAACCGTTCGAGTACGAATAAGCTCTTTTCGAGTGCAATTGCTCGCTTCTTTCATTTCTCACTTCTTCTCACTTCTCATTTATCACGTGTTCTCCTTATAATATGACCGGCCCGTCTGTGTTTCACTATCGATGGATCTTCTCTTGTGCCAGATAGGATACGTATCAAAGATCTGACCCATTCATCACAGCTAGAAGTTGTGAGTGTTGGTCGAATATCAGAAGCCATCCAAGAGCTCTCTAGGTGAAACAAAGATTTGTTAAATTCAAATTTGACTCACCTCTGTGCAATATGACAGATCGTTGGGAAGAAATGGATTGAAAAGGGGTGGCACATTGTCTAGGGCCCACTGGTTCGTCGGTGGCTTCTTTGAAAGGTTCTGAAGTGTCTCGTGATGCTCTCCGTCTTCTATCTAGATCCAACTTCATATTTGTTGAATGCCCAAAGTAAACGCTAGAGGCTTTCGTAAAAAATGAACCATCGATTTTTTCAAATTAGCGCCATGAAATTCTTGAGCACCAGATCTCCAAATAGACCTAATGATGTAGAGGGGTGTGCAAAAACGTTTGCGTCAGCCGAGATCGAGCGAGCCTTATACCATGATTCTGATCGCGTTGCCTTCTGCGGATGCAGATGATTGACTTTAGTCATAAACGCGTTTGCCCATTGTTTACGTGGTTTCAGAAAAAGACGCTTGCAACCTCTTGGAGTTCACTCCGGGTCGATATCAGAGGAGTCTCCTCTAGTGTTTTAGGTACGAAGCAAGAAGCAGTCTACATGACGTGTCATAGGCGTGCTCGTTTTGTCCTTTTGCCTGGCGACCACTCAAACCCCGAGCTTTGATTGCCCCTCACAGGTTGTCTCACCGCTAGACGTTGTATTAGGGAGCATCCAGTGTGCAGGTTATTGAGACAAGAAATATTACTGAATTAGCTATTTTTGTTAAGCAAAAGAATGACAGAAAGAATTTCATTCGCATTCGTTGCTCAATCCAAATTTTTCGCGCAACTCTTTATTTTATTTCGTGGATTCAAGTAATGAAGAAAAAGAACGAAAGAAATGACGCTTTAGTTTGCGATATAGCATTTCCGGAATCAAACTTATTACAAACTCATGCATATATCTATCGTAATGTTCGTCGCGGTGGGATATATTACAGTATTACTCCATGCAGGTATGAAAAATTTTCTTTTTGTTTATTAAAAATTCATAACGAAAAGAGTCAGATTGTGCTGATGTCCCAATAACAAATATAGATTGTGTACTGGATATTTGTAGATATCTATCCAACTCTTCATTAATATTGGAATGTTGTTTTGCTGTTTAAAAGTGACACTTTGGCTAACCTTCTATAAATTTCTTCTTAAAATAATTCTATTTCTTAGTAGTTCTAACGTGAATTTCAGTTCGGGAAATGTGCTAACCAATAAAGTTGCACTTTCATGTGGTCAAGAAAAAGAACTCGCTTTTCATGATAGAATCACTTTGCTAGCGGGTGAGTTGGATGCGAACTATGAGCAGCAGAAAATCCTCAAACAAGCACTTCTATATTAAGTATGATTTTAGGACCAAAATGTATTCATTTGACATTCGGTCAAAGGACAGGTATGTTGCATCCGTCCTAAGCTTGCAAACTGATTATAACATTCTATTATTGGTATAATTAGCGTCAGGAGCAGGAATTATGGATAGTACACGTCCATGCCTCACGTGGGAATCAGAATCCTCTGTTCATGTACGATATTTGGAAGACAAGAGAGTTTTCATTATAGACAGCGATCGGGGTTTGTGCAAGAATACGATCTCTTTTTTGATGCAAAAAAATTTTTTACACTTTGGTGATGAGTTGGCAAGCACATGAGTCATGTCATCTCCTACTACGCATGGTGGTTTATTGAAACCATGGAATATGGTCTATTGAAAGTGACTAAAAACCTCTGTTCACGTGTAGGGGAAGGAACCTTTGTCACGTGTGGACCAATCACATCTAACGGCTCGATCCTCTGGTGTGTCGTGATGTCGAACTTATTGCCGTCGACGTGTTAAACATTGGTCGTTTCCATCCCCTATAGTCGATGATTATGTGTCATTGGTTTTCACTCTTTCTCCAGACTCATGAAGTTGACAGTTGATCTTTATTGATTTTTCTATGCACACATATTCATCAATCATTGCTGTGTGAAATGCAGAGCTTCATTTTCTCTAATTGTTCATCGCATCCATCATTCTCTGAAGCCTTTGGTATCTCTTGATGATTGAGGATTTGATCTTTACTATAAATGTTGCTGAATCCAGGTCACATAAACTTTCTGTATAATTCTGGGAAGACAGTATTAGAATATTTCCGGCCTCTCACCAGCAGTCTCCAATCTTTATGGAATTGAGGGAAGTTTCTCATACGGGTTCAACACAAAGTGAGCCATTTCGGAAGCGTAGGAGGCTTCCTTGGTTAGATATGAGGTCGAACGTGTTCTTCAAGCGGTTGCCATTGAGCAGACGCTGCGTTACCCATATCTATAACACTGGTCTGCAAAGTACATTTACGTTCTACGTTTCTTTGTGGTTATTATCATTTTGAGTCTTTACCCTTCCTCTAAGAACACGCCTATCATAAAAGAACTAGTAATTATTTATCCGTCCTTTGGATGAATGAAGTCAAAAGCTATTGAAATGGAAAGCCAATCACCATGAATCGAATTTCAGGTTGTCACACACCTCGTGCTAGTTCTCATGTGGCTGGTACACATGCCGAACTGACTAGAAGTGTCCTGAGAGGGGTAGTACACTATAGCATAAAGCCAGCTCTAGACAGGTAAAGTTGGTAATAAAAGAAAAAATTGTACCTAATCGCAGTGTGCGTGCCCGAAAATGTAAAGACTATAAAACTTTTTTGTTCAGTCGTTGCTTTGTTTTGATCTTATCGCTTTCTTTGATATGACTAATTGAAGACGTTGTTCAGGAGTACAAGGGTATATGTAAACGGTATATCGGTGTCAAGAAGAGGACAAAAACTCATGTCTGGTGATGTGTTGACACTTTCCACGAGTGAGAGACCTTTTGTTTCGATTTGGTTTTTTTGATTCCTTAATGCTCGTTACTGCCATTAGGCACTTGTAGATGTACGTTATAATGTTCGTTTACATCAATATTCACTATCGAATCAATTCTTTGGTAACTCAGCATAGATGCACAAGCACCATGTTTCAGCTTGAAGCTTTCCAAGTTTAGTTGAAACTCTTCAAAAAAGGAAATCTCAGGTTTCCACCGCAAAAATTTAAATTGCTGGGTAGTAGACTCAACAGTTTCTTGATCATATCGATCTTCTGAAAAAATTTTAGATCCTCGTAGTGTAAACTTCCGATTTTATAACGGAGAAAGTGAGACAGAAAGAAGTTTATCTAACAACCCTACAAGAACGGTAAGTGAAGGCAATACGCAAAATCAGCAGGTATATTTAGAATTACTATATCCATGTTACCTGTTACTACCATCATTGGAGTGTTACTTATATTCGAACACTAAGTAAGGTTTAGTTTTTTTTTCTTTAGTGGTTTAAGATTTAACCGAAATTATCACAACAGTAGTGTGCATCGTTGGATCCGAAATCAAATCCTTGAAAGCTAGAAAAGTCTTGTATAAAACATCCAGTGGCATACAAAACTTTCCAGACGGGAGTTGAATCCCCGTCCCAGCCATACGGAAACGTGTTACCGAAACGCCACTGGGGTCAGTGCTCTGCTGCTACCCCTTCGGTCTGGAAAACACATCGCCATTGAACCCAGTTGACCCGACAGCCGAATATAATCCTCAAGGAATCTTATTTCACCGTTCTTATAGCACTTTTCAAACTACCGCCTGAAGCTTGAAGTTTCACCTTTTACTCGGTGTGTGCTTGGATATGTTGTTACATGATTGTGACAGCGTTGTAACAGCGACAAAATAATTCTGCGGATTGCAAGTCTTGTCGTTGTGTCACTGTTTCTCATCACTACCTTTTACCACGTCCCCTTCAAACTAACCAGCCTGAAAATACAGAGCTTAATGAGGCCTGTGACGACCTAAGGACCAGTGATGCTCCGTAACAGTATGCGGGGTTGATTTCACAACACTCCCGGCAATCAGTAATGTACACCCTACAGAACGCCTCAGCCTGGCTATCCTTGAGTCCTTGAGCGAGGAGATGCCTGGAACTAGTATTCTACAACGTTCATGAAGAAATTTTAATCCTAAAACAAGCGGTGAAGGCAGTGAGACAAACGAAATGCTAAAACATTTCCGTCCGCCGGGATTCGAAACCCAGATCTCACTCTTTCCGGGAGCGTATGCTGACCGTCGCACCACCAACGCTCATGTTGCACTGCACACTTTCTACATTACAACGCGTTATCTGTCAATAGCCAACCGTCTACGGTCTGGCGGGGCTGTCGGCATTGAACCCGCTTAAGCTGACAGATATTGAGTATTAACAATCAATCGTAATTCATTTATTTGACCGCTTCTTGCAGTGTTATGATCTTATAATATACCCAATGATGTAGAGTGCTGTGCAAAAACGGTTGGCTGTTGACAGATTACGCGTTGTAACGTAAAAAGAGTGCAGTGCAAAAGTAGCGTCGGTGGTGCAACGGTTAGCATACACGCCCGAAAAGAGTGAGATATGGGTTCGAATCCCGGCTGACGCAAATGCTTTTGCACAGCACTCTACATCACTGAGTATACTACAAGATCGTAACACCGCAAGAAGCGGTCAAATAAATGAATTACGATTTGCCTGGTAATCATTATTTGAGCCACGCATGTCAGTGGTCTGTCAATGAGGGCTGACTTATAGAGCCCGATACACGTGTTTCGATCTTGCGATCTCGTCAGTCGGGCAGTTGCCCTCTCTCGTCTTTTGCTAATCTCTGTGGGTGCTCCAGTCCCCACAATAACAATACCAATGATAGCTCGCGTTTTGGTATAAATGGAGCGAGGGCCCAACTCCTGTCCAAGGTCGAAAGTTTTGCATAGCATCAAGCATTTCTCGACATAACACAGCTATAAAAGCATTTGAATAAGCAATTTTTGCCTGATTTCACTCAATACGAGCATAACGATGTTTTGTTGGACTTATGAAATGATCCGAACTAATTCGCTGGAAACACTGATGTTGTCTCTTGTGACTCGACAAGATTGATCCTCTCATCACGTGAGATTAAGGTCACTCGGCAAGAACATAACGATGGTTCGTTGTTTGATCAGCTCGAAGCTAACCTAACTTGCTGTGTTTGCCTGAACTTGTTTTTCAAACCAGCAAAGTATGCTTTTATATTTCTCCTTCATTTCCTTTCCCTTAATGTAAGCACTTACTGATACACCCTGACAACATATTTTGAGCCCTTCATGCGGTCTGTTATGACACTTATAAAGTGCAAGAGTGCAAGGCACGTGTTTTGGCCTTTCAGCCTCAACAGTAGCACGATACCCTTCGGCAGTTTCTTGGAAGGGTGGGGAGAAGGGTTTCGTCTGATTAGGAGGGGACAGGTGAAAAACCAATCTGATTTACTGGAAAGGGATTTTTTAGGAGTGTCAGTAACCATTCGAAAGCTGAGACTTGAGACTACAGCTTCACGTCGCCGGCTCTTCAAAACACCCTTTATAACGCTCTAGCATCCACATCAAAAACCGTGTTTCACACCCGTCTTTCGCCTGTATTTCTATCATGCTTATGATTTGCTGAAAACCGCAAAGCATATCGATTTGTGATAAAATTTTCGTAGTATCTCGGTAGATCGCTAAATTTGGAGTCTCTTTCAAAGCGGAGGAAAAATTCCCAATTGAACAACAAAATATGGATCGTATGCTTTGCCCCGCCCCTGCCACCTCCCTCATCTTGTTGAATAGCATGTAAACAGCGTTACCCAAAATGTAAAACTCAATCTTATTTTCACCGCTAATCCGTATTTCCACAAAATAACCGCATCTCAGAATCGAAAAACTTTTTGCTATCAGATGATTACCAATAGTCTAAGAAAAGAGCTTTGTTGGGCTAGGTCTAAAGCACAAATCATAAGAGCAGGGGAGATCAAAAGATTGACAGAGCTTCTCGAAAAACAGGCATATTTTGAGTTCTTTGAAGCTTGTGCTATAGTTTGAGTACTAGGACTCCGAGGAAGAAGTTTTTACCAGCGAAAAAAAGCGAGATAAGAGAAAAAAACACGTGGTTTATAGAACACGATTTCATTTCGAATGTTACAGCGTTATAAAGAAGTGTTTTGAAAGCCCGCGGCGTGCACCTATACCCACAAGTCTCAGCTTTGGAATCGTTACTAACACTCCTATGAAAAGTTTTTCACCTGCAATGAGATTGATTTTCCGTTTGTTCCCCCTAATTAGAAAGAACCCCAGGGGGATATACGCATATACCCCCTATACTAGAGGAATTGACGCCGGAATATTTACACTCAACGCATGATGAAAGGATCACAGTGCTATTCTATCACAGTGATTGATTGACGATTGTAGTTTGCTTGGCTACGCCAGTATGTCCCTTTGCGGACGATGAGGTCATTATGGCCCTCACCTGGGTGCGCTGTTCGGACAGTTACGAAGAGTGGTGCGTGTTCCAAGCGAAATTCGAGTCTTCAGAGAAACATTATTAGCAAAAGTGATATAATATCACTAACGAGACATGTTGTAAATAATTTTGGCAAGGTTAATGCTAGTGATTACCGAAATCTTGCTTTTCTCAGTCGGTAAAAAGCACATCCTTGCGAAAAGGAGTATATTAATTACCAGCTGTTATTAAATATTGCTATTTATTTACTTTAAGTTTTTCTTGTCGATCGATAGTTTGAAAAACTTTGATTTTGATAAGTTTGTGGAGTGTAAGGATTGACATATTGCATGCTATAAATGTGCAAACATAACGATTTGCAACCGCAATACATTTTTTCTCATTCAAGCCAATTTTTTGAGATCACGTAAACTCTTTTGATTTTTAGAAGCATTTTCGCCAGAAATAATCAAAATCTCACTGAAAAGACTTCGTATGAACTTTTTCTGATAGAGTTATGGGTAGGCATAAATAAAATATCATATCAAAATATCGATGAAGGTTGCAAATATTGCTTTTTTCAGAATTACTTGGTTTGTCCTTTTAAAAGTGTGAATTATAAATGGAGAAATTACGTCAATTCTAATAAATGTAACCTTACTGAAGTCTGTTCTATCCTATTTAGCCATTCACTGACACATAAATTACATTTCATGACGAAAAAAATTGAGAATTTCATCAGAAAACTGCCACACTAGCATAAGAAAGCTCGCTAGTAGCCCTCTCTTCGTAACCGTCCGAACCGCGCGCCAGCCAAAAATGGCGCCTTCCGCAAAGGGATGTATAATATCACTTTCAGTTGACTATTTTGGATCTTCGCTTAAAATTATTCTACGTTGAGTGTTCAGCGTCCATTCCTCTATGCAGGAGCTACATCTCACAAAGAACTTACTAAATCAAAAGGTACCTTACTGCTGATGAGGTTTAAAGTCCGAAAGACATGTCGTGTACTTTGAAAGTTCCATAAATGACCTCACAAAAGGCTCAAATATGCTGTCAGAGTGATTAATCTTGAGCGAGATTTCAAAACAGTTGATTTAATGTGTTGATACATCTACTGATATTTGCAGAAAGTCAACGTTGGCAGATTTGTTCATTCTCTAAAATTGTACTCATAAAATTTTACTTACAGTATTGAACCGTGTAATCATAAGTGTTGCTTTACATGCGTTCTGTCGTGGGTTAAACAGACCGGATTTTCAGAAAAATGTCCTCAGGTATTTAAAAGAGCATTTTTCACAGTGTATTGGTACCTTCATATCATTTTTTTGCATCAATTTAAATTTCTTCCATCATCTTATTCCATAAGAAAAGTGTGATGCATTGGTTAGAGATGCTCCGCGTAGTCGCTCAATCGATAGTCGATGGCTCGATCCAGCGCTCAAGGCTCAGTAAGCATTCCCTGAGGGTTGACAAATCGGTACCATACTTATACGAAAGGCTAAGCAGCGCTAAGTTGTATATTGCTAGGCCACCACGCATCGTTATATGAGCCATATATGGATTCAATCACCTTAAACAAAGCTAGACGAAGATGAATGCATAGCGCATCCCTCGTAGATCGCTCAGAGCCGAGAGCTTTGTTCTTTATCCTTTTATCTCTCATCGTTTCTGCTCTTTATCCGTTCCTCAATAATTTTTTTTTATATAGTTTATATGTCTATATCATCACTTGAAAACACAGAAAGTAATTCATTTACAACAGCGGTTTCGAGCGTTTATTGAGACCATGCTCAAATGTCAATTTATCCGATGATTTTTATTTGAGCCAACATGTCATGTGGTCTGTTTGTGGGCACTTCTACAGCTCGATACACGAATCTCGATTTTGGCCATGGCAGCCTCGTCAGTCGGGCAGGCCCTTCGTTTTTAGCCAATCCTCCCGAGACTGCTCTATCCCCCATATAGAGCAGGCGACGACTTACAGTTTACAAGTGCCGTAAAATAAAATAAATTATTAAATCGGCAGTGTTTTACGTTCGATTGCTCTTCGCTGATATTTTTTGAAATATTACAGCTTATGTTTCGAGTGTTCTCTTGAGACCACGCTCAAGTTCCATTATATTATCAATTATCAGATATATTGAAATTTGGGCGTGGTCTTGAGCGAACACTCGAAACGAACGTTGTAATATTTCAAAATTACCAGCCAAGAGAAATTGAATGTAAAACACTGCCGATCTAATGATTTATTTCACTTGACGACACTTGTGAATGGTACGTCGTCGCCCACTCTATATAGGGGAATGTAGGGATCCCCGAGAGGATTGGTTAAAGACGAAGGGCCTGCCCGACTGACGAGGCCGTAAAGGCCGAAACACGTATAACGGGCTGTACAAGTTGCCATAAACAGATCACATGACATATTGACTCAAATGATCAGCAAAATTACATTCCAGTAGTTTAGCGGTTTGAGCTTCACAGAACAGCTTACAACACATTCCATGTGGTTTAATTCTTCTTCTTTGTGTGTTTTTCCATCTTAAAGTTTTTCTTGAAGCTAATAGATCACTGGTGTGATAAATATTGTTTGGTTTCAGTGTCGTACCACCATGCTATGCGTCAAGCAAGACCGGACACTGAATAGTATTGTGGAGGCGTTTCTGCAGATGAAGCCTGGTTTGTTTGAAAACTTTATTACCTTATCTCAAATTTTTGTATCTGACAAAAATCTTCTCAAGAACAAAGGATTGTTCAAAATCTTCCATTCGTAAATGCCAAGACGATTCTGTTTACCCCGACATTGTTCAACTGACTGTTTTCCTTGATGACCAAACTCGAATTCGCTACTGCAAAATTTAATTCTATCACATGTAGTTTGGGTGGATTTGGTTTTCTTCAAGGCTCAGAAAGATCAAAATGATAGCGTCGTTGGGCAGTTCTACCACAATCCCTAGAAGTTACGAGACCTAGATTTCAATCGTAATTTAAGAACATCTTTCTCACATAGTCACAGTTTCTATTCGTTTCCAATGAATATTTTCACAAGAAGATCATTCTTTCATTCGTGGAATCTCTATAATTGTATTATATTTCCTAAGAAATACAATCAATGGCTTATGTCTCACAAAACGAAATGGGTACAGT